GGGGGGGGGGGAGGTAGCGGGAACGAGCCCATCGTGGTAGCAGTAGTTGTGAGCGCGGAGCGAGGGACACAGCGGTTACCGTCGACTCTGGCCGGAGAGGCTTCGGTGGTGTGCACCAGACAGGGGACGGGCGGGGACGGGCGGTGCGAACCGATGTCGGCGCGATGCGTTCTGTTGCTCCCGCTCGCCTTGGCCGGGAAGGTGGTGGAACCGGTCCCCAGGAAAGGCGACGGTAACGCACACAACTTCGCGTTCAGTACCACTCGGCCAGCCGTGCCGCTTAGCACTTTGTTCGAGGACATGGCAACTTCGTCGTCGCCGAGTGGCGACGGTGGCGATGGTGCTTCACCGTCACCCCCGATCAATCGCGGTGCGAGTTCGCTGGAAAACTCCAAATCGAACGGAGCTGGGGGGGGAGCACCGGCGGCAAAATTTGGAGACAGCGGCGGGGAGGCATTAGTTCCCCGTAGCATGAGCACGGCATTCTCTCTGCGCTACTGGGCCGTCGACGCCGGCTCCGAGGGAGGAGGCCAGGACGTAAGCGTGACGGTTTCGAACAACTCTGGACGGTATCGGGTACAGAGCGAGTCCCTGCCAGCCGCCTGCATGATGGCGACAGAAGTGGTGAGGAGGCTCAGGGAGCACTTCGGCGACCCTGCCGGGGGGCGAAATCGCGGCGGCGAAGAACGCCCAGCGGCAGACGAGGTCAAAACAGGCCCGGAGACGGGTGAGAAAACGATATGGGCAGCCTGTTTTTCCTATCTGCTGGTGACCGCGCACCGTCGCTCTTGAAACATTCTACAGCTCCTACTCCGACGAGAGACAGGCACCTACGGCATTTGAGGACTCGTTTGCGTGTTGGTCCGTGCTCAACAAGAAGCGCCGGCCGTATCCTCTTCCTGGTTCTTGTCGTCGGTCACCCCCTGTTGTACCATAGCGATCGAGTTGGTGGTGTGGGAGGGGCTCTCGAGGTCCAGATCACACCCCCAAACGTACTGAGAACAACGTTCGATTTTCAGATAAGAGCCAGCCTCTCTCTCTATCCACGAACACAGCAGTTTAGAACAAAACGCACATCTCGCCTGTATGAGAATACCCTCACTCTGTTACGAGTAAAGGTCCCTGAAGTGGTGAATACCCGTTCACCAGCGGAGGTAATTTCGCTCTTATTGCAATGTGGCGAGGAATTGCCAAGCGTGGCTGACTTTAGTCGGCCTTGCTAGGTTGAAAGGTGCGAGTGAACCTCAGCGCCAGCTTCCACCCTCCGCCTGGTCACAGCAGACGGAGGGTCTTTTCTTTGTAAACATTTTCAGACCTCAAGAACCTAATTCGTTGGGGCTCGGAGCTTTACGGTTGAATGTGCGTCCCTACCATTATGTAGGAAGAATCCTATATCCTGCTTTCCACATGTAGCGATAATCGAACTCGACGTCGGATGCTTGCCGTCACTGATCGCAGCAAACCGCCTCAAGCTGGCACCACATGCCCACGCCTACGTACACCGCCCTCATTCCGGAGCAGATCCGTCCTGCCTCCGAATCGAGTACTCGGATGCCCTTCCCCTGCAAGAGTTCTACGCCATAATCGACGAGCACTACGATCGTAGAAGAGACCTCCAGGACGCTTCCGAGAGCCTGAATCGCGCCGCCCACCAGTACAGGGTGGTAGAAAAGCGCCTTCTTTCGCGATTCAAGGATCGGAACCCCGCTCCGCTGGACAGCCTGGACGTCGTGTCGGAGGAGACCTACCAGCGTCTGGTCGAGCTCTGCGATGGCGTGGAGAGAGCGCAGGATCGACTGGCGGTCAGCGCCGCAAGACTTGGGTGTGCGGTGAGGCTGGTGGCACTTCTCGCACAGCACCGGTTCCAACTATCGTGCAAAGACCATGAGCTCCTACTGGCGCACCTTTACCCCGACGTGACCAACACAGAAGATCAGGTACGTATATATGGACCCAAGGGTCTACATACATATATATACATATATATATAAAAATAGATTCTGGTCTAGGATGAAAGCGACGCGCTGCAAAGCTCGTTGTTAGTATACAATAATCGACTTCTTAAGTCGAAAGGGAAGGGATTGCTGGACCCTTCTCGCGATAAAAATATCTCAGGCAGGAACCGCAGGAGGGGGTCCAACCCCCCCCTCCTGTGTGACCCCGGTTGGGTCGGCTAGCTGGTAGAAGTGGAGGACAGGGGCCAGAGGGGCAGACGACAGTGTCCAATAATGGGAGAAAAAAATAAATATATATATATATATATATGTAGATCCATGTGCAATGTACACGTCAGCAGGGCGTCCTCGAGTGGGTGCTGTTGATGCTCTACTTGTGTATATCGGTATAATCGTGGCGATTTCGTAAAGATCCGAACGCTTCTATTGCTTCCTCCAACCTCCGCTCTGCTCCCCACCGTATTACAGTAGGTTCTTCTCCCGACCCGATCGACAAGAAAATCGGTGACAACACATAGACTAGATACCAGCCCTGATTCCCTACTCACAACTGCTCTGGGGACCATCATATGTATTTATCTCAGCAAAACGCCGTCACCCCTTCCTTACATGTGTCTTTAGTGTAACAACACGTGCACTGCAATCAACGTGTGTGATGTGTCTTTTGGATCCATTGGACTGCAGGGCTGGGAAGAGAGCGTCGACGCAGCGGTAACGCACCTCCTGCGAACCTCTCTCGCCAAAGTTGCGAAGGATGCTGCCCCGCCATCGGCAGGGCAGACGCCGCCTCTCTCAATGCCAGCGGATACGGTGAAGCTCAAGAAGCACCTATCGATCGTGTTCGACCGACTGAACAAGGGGGCCCGACTCGTTGTTCTACCCTCCTCGTCTCGTCCTTCGAGCCCTAGATCATCGGCGGCGGCCCCTGATAGCCAGACGTCTGTGTTGTTGGCGTCGTCACCCCGGCGGGGTGTTTCGCCGCCGTCGCGAGGAGCACCAGAGCGCGGCTACAAGTAGAATAGTACGGACGGCCACGGGGCGTGGATCGACCAATGTTGGCGTTGACTTTGTTTCTGTGAATGGAAAATGCACTTCGCGAGGAACGCAAGATCTCGGCTTTTGGTACAGAACCTAACAATGGCTGGCATGACTCGCTTGCTACAAGCAGCAGTTTGTGTGTTACTTGGTGTGGTTCCAAACGTATCGCACCGATGTCCGCTAAGGTACAGGATTTTTCTGTAGGACCCTTTGATGGTACATATGCATACGATCTCTCGTATCTCGCAGCTCAAGAGAAGATCATATGATTAGTTACCCCGCCTCCTGCGGCAGAAATATTCAGCACCCCTCTGGGATCCCGCTGGTCGCCGGCCCCCCACAGCCCTGTCTCTTTCGCTATAGTAGTGCGGGGTGTCTGGTGCTGTTGCGTGTCTCTGGCCTCTGGCGCCCTCGCACAACCTCGAGACATCGAGAGAGACAGCATCATCGGCCAGGATGCCACGTGCTCAATCAGCACCGTTAAACTTCTTCGTGGTGTTGGTGGTGGCCTTGAGTACCGCCCGGGCGTTCGTTGTCCATTCACCGCCTTCAAGTAGCAGTTGCCCCTTCAACAGGCAACGGTAAGGGTCATACATGCTGTTATGTACTGTGTCGCTGCTGTCTTGTTGTCGTGGTTGTACAAGGTGTAGCTTACTGCATTACTGCTGCACCTGGTACGATATCGATGCATGAGTGGGTGTGGAGGTTGTGGTCTACTGCGGTACTGCAGGGCAGGGTACACGGTAAGCACTCCTTGCTCTTTTTGCGCGGACGTACGAGTGCGTTGTGTACGAACGTTGTGTCCAGCATGCTTCAGCAACTCCCCGGCGCCTACGTGTCTTGATGCCTTGCAACCAAGAGACACCACTGGACGGCTGCCTCGTACAGTTTGAGCCGCTACCTCTGTTGCAAGTTCTTTGACGCCATTGACATGGCAAAGGATTTTGCCCGCAAGTGTTTCGTTTGAACAGCAACAACCTTGCCCAGCCGCCTCATCACCTATTCTCTGATACCAGGTACACGTTCACACTGATGCGGTCGTCTGCATACTGATGGCAAGCGACGCAGTGGCCAAACCGACTGACTGCTCGCTGCAGTGACGTGATTCTCTAGACACGACACATTGGCAGAAACGCGAACAATCATACAATCGTCCTCCGTTCTCCCTGTCGTCCTTGAATAATGCTAACGCTGTGTGGCGTTGTGCCTCTTGGCTACGAGATAGAGAAGGGACGATGAGGACGAAATGCATCATCAGTGGTAGGGTAAAAACAGCAAGGCCGCGCACGTCCCCCCTTTGGGTTGTTGCAATGTATTGCGCGAAGAATATATACTGTACCAAACGAGTCCGAGACTTGTTGTAAGCAGATCAACCTCCAGTTTGCCAAGTAATCGGGACTTGCTTTTTCCATTGGTCGACAGGTTTGAGGGGTTTATCCTCAAAAGGGTGTGAGGTGTTTAAACACCCGAAGTAGGTGTGCTACCCAACCAAACAGGATTTCTTATACAGCATAACCGCCGTATTTCTGCATCGTGCACGTCAATGCACTTCGCTGTCGACGCTGCCGCTATAATTTTCCTCCTTCATCAGGTGTGTACGCTCACACAAAAATCCTCGACCGTCCTCTCTTGTGTTCCTTTGTGCCGCAGCTGCAGCAGCAGCACATCCATGACAGCCCACGGTCACCACCTCCACAATGGCAAGACGCCCGGTGGCAACTCTTCTCCAATTATTGCGGCCACCGGCCAGGCCGCGCCGACACCTCCGCCGGCCACCTCCTCCTCGACCGACGGCAAGGGTAGCAACACCAACCGAAAACGCCGGAGACGACGTCGTGGGCTATTGATTGGGCCGGCTGTGTGGGCGGCCTTCAAGGAGGAGCAGAAGGTGGCTTAACAAATTTAGTCTGCGCCCTTTCTTGCAAAGTCTAGTCTTGTAAATATTCCCGACAGTAGTTTAAGTTAGCAGTCTGGCGTAAAAACGGAAGGCATGTGATCAGAGCAGGTTGTGAGTGTAGTGTTCGTACAAATGCAATAGGATACATGGTGTGTGGTGTGCATACCATATGCATACGAGATACACAAAGCGGTTACAATTGGTGCAGAGCTAGAAAGCCCTGGGAGTTTCCGCGGAATGATTAGGGGGGTTCCGTGGTGTGACTAGGGGGTTCCGTCCATCATTTTGGCCAACAACGTTGCATTTTCTTTACAGTAAAAAACTCTGCCGCTATCGACGTAGCTCGACGAGGCAATCACGAATATCGTTGTTTCACGTTCCAACTCTTTTCTTACGAAAGTTATCGCACCAAACGTGAATGGAAAAAGTGTCCCGGACGGACCATGAAAGAAAATGTTGGATAGAGTGCACTTTGTCCTCAGCGGGGATGCGAGTCGCACCACATGGTAGAACAAGACACGCGCCCCACAGGGCGAGACCAGCCGCATCGACACCATGACTGCGGTCAGGCGGTCGCCATATCCACCCGTGGTATGCCCTTGAGCCGTACCACACGCCGCGTACACCACCCAAACCTGCCGCGTTGGTGCTTCGCCGTCTTGTATGTCCTGGGCATCGGGGAAAAAGGTGCGGCCTGTTAACCCCCTTTTCTCTCTCTCTCTCTCCTGTTGATTTCCTCTCTTTTGTCTCTCTTCACGCTTGCTCCGATTGGCCAGGGTGTTACCCGCACGCTCCTCGGCTTCGACGACGATAACGCCTCCGGAAAGGAGGCTGACGGCAAAGCAGCACCGCCGCCAGAGAGAGCTGGTGAAGAAAGTGGAGTCGAGAACGAAACCATGGAGGAAGAACTGCGGCGGTGGCGGCGACAGCAGGAGGAGCAGCTACGGCAGAGACCGGTCCCTAGGATGACGCTCGGAACGTTCATGGCGGAGACTCGCAGCCGGAGCCCCGACATGGAGGCCATGGTTCCCATCATGAAGTCCGTTGGAAAGACTTGCACCGCCGTGTCCCGACTCGTTCGACGCGCTCAGATCGAAGGCATGGCCGGCCTCCACCAAGACGACGGCGGCGGCGGCGCAGCCGGTGCCGGTTCGGGATCGGAGTCGGTGAACGTCCAGGGAGAGGTCCAGAAAGAGCTGGACGTGCTGTCCAACAGCATCTTTCTGACCGGCTTCTGCCAGCCGGGCGGCATGTCGTGCGTCGCCAGCGAGGAGGAGGAGACCCCCCGGATGTGCGCCGCGGTGGTGGGAGACGAGATGCACGGGTGAGCGAGATTGTTTCGGGGCGCAGCAGTAAGAGATATGCGTTGAGTGCGGTTTGGGTCGGTTGCGTGGGGTGCGTAGCGGGAGGTGCGGAATGTAGGCATCAAGCTGGTGGCGCGGCGCGTTGAGATGGTTAGTGCCCCCGACGAAATCACGGGCGAAAAGGAGGCTACCACTACCCTGCACATGTTAACACACACATCACCCGGGAACCAAAAACTTGTTCTATTGATCGATTTTTTATCTATAGGGTACATTCATTTGTCGCCAATGATGGACGATCTATCAGCCAATATTGACTCTGACTGTACAGTTTCTGCTTGTCATCAACACTTCCGTTCGCAAGTACATCCCCCCCCCCGCACGCACGCTCGCATGCAGGGGGGAATATGCCGCGGTGTTCGACCCCTTGGACGGTTCCGCGAACATCGAGGCCGGGCTGCCTTGCGGCACGATCTTCGGCATCCTCCGGGCCTCAGGCAGCGCCCGCGAGGGACGAAAGGCGGGGCCGTCGACAGTCGTGCTCCCGGGGCGGAGGCTGGTTGCGGCGGGATACTGCCTCTACGGGCCTTCGACGAAGCTGGTTTTCACTCTGGGCGCAGGCGTTTTTGAGTTTACGTTGCGCGGGGAGGGGGCGCAGGGGAGGGGAGGGGAGGGGGGACTCGGAGGCGGCGAGCTGGACTTCGTGCTGACGAGATCGAACTTGAGGATACCTAGGAGCGGAAATGTGAGGCCATTTTTCTTGTTTGGAGTGCGTGTGTTTCTGGGCGTTGTGGGCACGTGATCGTGAGGTGGCGATGATGCGTTTCCTCTGTATCGAAGAGAGTGAGAGAGGGCTTCCAGACCGGTGGACTCGTGGACAGATATGAATCAGGGAGCACGCGGAATATACTGCATGGGGAGGGAGGGTGGGGTGGGCGCAGGCGTTAGTGAGCGAGTGCACAGGTGGGGGGAGCACATCAATTTATTCCGGTTTGAAGGCCCATAGTACCACTCCTATTGCCATGGAGCGTGTTTGTTGCTGGTTGCCGTGTTTTCGTACAACCCCTGACAAACCGGTCAATCGCCCTCCCTCCCATCTCACGGGGACGAAGCTTCCTCGATTCGACCCTGCCGTCCGCCCTCTCTCCCTCCCGCCCTGCTTTCTGGTTGTATGCATACCGAGCGTGTCGAACTTGTTGTCCCCTCTGCGCGCAGGTTTACAGCGTGAACGAAGCAAACTCGGTCTCCTGGTCCGAGGCGATCCAAGACTACTTTCAAGACCTCAAGACCACCATGGCGACTCCCCCGCCCTCTGCTGATGGTGTCGGAGGTGGTATCAACGAAGAGGCGGTAGAGGTAGAGAACCGGTACGCCGGCGCGTTGGTGGCCGACATCCACAACGTGCTCGTCAATGGGGGAGTGTTTGCTTACCCGGCGGACGTTCGCAACCCCAACGGCAAGCTGCGGCTGCTCTACGAGGGTGAGTTGCGTTTTTTTACGAGCAGATCCTTCTACAGAGTGTAGTTGGGTCCCGCTCGGTACGGATGTGAGCTGATTTTTGCTTTATGTGCTTCTGTGGGGTGTTCCTTCTCCTTGATTTATCGTCGTCGTTTGTTTGGTCAGACTCTGTCACACACACCCGTTTGTCGCGCTTCAACCCCCTCCTTGACTGATCTCGTTGGCCTTCTCTGCTGTTGTGCGTCTTCGTCCTCCCTCTCTTACCCCTGCTCTCGCTCTTCTACTTTGGCGACGGCGGCGGCGGCGGCCGGGGCCCCACACATCACCAGGCAACCCGATAGCCATGATAGTGGAGGAGGCCGGGGGCGTTGCCACCACCGGGTTCGAGGCGATCAGAGATGTGCGCCCGCAATCGGTGCACCACCGCATCCCCGCCTTCTTCGGCAGCCCGGACGACCTGCTGCCGCTCTTAGACCCGAGATACCTGCACTCCAAGAAGAAAAGATGATACCCTGGCGGTGTGTGTGGCCGGGCGGACGCAAGTAGTTAGTCGTCAAGGCACCCGCCGAGCGTTTTGTTGTAGCGCAGGATAGCAACATTTTCTTTTTTTTCTGGTTTGGGAACGTTGTTTTTTTCGACCGTTTTGTTTCTCCGGTTGACGATAATAGTGAAAACGCCCTTCCAACCACCACGCGTAGGGATGTCAGAAGTACATTCGCTCTTCCAGTTACGGGAAGACTCTGCTTGTGTGCCGTTTTGATGTGTAGAGGTAACACCTTCGCGCACGTGCACCCCGAAAAAAGCGCTTTGTTGACCGGGTTGGTTGTTTTTAGGGATGGTGGGTCGCCAAGCGTCAAGGGAGCGGCGTATCGCTGTGTTGGTTGCGTGGTTTCAACGCCTCATGAACAGCTCATGAGGATAAGGGGTTGTGACTGTTTTGGCGCGGCTATTCTTGACCCATCCCGTCTTCGAGACACAGCGCGATCTCCCTCCCCCCACTCGTGTTGGTGTCGGATCCTATCAGCCCGTCGTGCCGTCTTCGGTATCGCCTGTAGCTTGTCGGTTAGTTAGTTATCCTCGGGCGTGCGTGCCTCAGTTGTTGTGCGCGTCTCCACGAGCATATTCTGTCTTGTTTTGCGAGCTGCGGGGGGCGGTGGCGGCCTTACCTCAATCGCTGGTGAGCCTTTTGTGAAAGTTCTACACGTCTAGTTGGTGTGTCGTCCCGTTTGTTGGGGGCGAGTAGACCACCATGGCGGGTCTTCCGCTTTCTCAAGTTTGCAACATTGCTTCAGTGGATTTTGTGAATGGCGGAATGCACGGGGGCGGGAAAGTTTGCGCCGTGTTTGGCTTCTCTTGACCACGCTTTAGAGTCAATCATAGAGCAGTTGGCAGCACGACTATCGCTTTGTTGAGAACGTGTTACCGACAAGAGTTTCGTCGCTGGCATATCCGGGGAATGGGTTGGGAGGGGGGACGGTGGCGTGACCGCTCTGGTGTGTTAACTAATACTTTATCGACGGTAAGCACATCAGGACCAGAGGGAAGGGAGGGGGGGCAGCGGAGACGCTTTGAGTTTGCATTGTCGTGATGTGTTTTCTGTGTTTATTGTGGTGATGCTCGACTATCACGGAAGATTTAGCCTTCTTGAGGAACTATCTGCGGCTTCACAAAAAAAATGCTCCTGTCGGGGAGACGGGGGGGGGATGTTCGGGAGGGGAAAACGCCACACCACACACCTCCCGTTCCTCATCACATCATCACCACAGACGACCAATTCGATTCTGTAGCGTGCCCGAGCAACGCGTGGCACGAGACACAAGTGAGCGAGACAGTGAGCAAGAGAGAGAAGAGATAGGGCCAAAAGTTATGCGCGCACTGTCACTGCAACAACGATACGGGGGCCGGTGATCAAAACCCACTCACATGGATGTGGAGGATTGACAAAGGATTGTTTATCCTGCCCCGGGCGGTCCTCCTGCAGTCTACCCCGGTCTTGAACAGTGCACCAAGTAGAGGTGCATCCTCCCGTAGTCTTATTTTATTGTTGAATCATGCACACAAGAAGCAGGTGCATCCTCTACGGGATCAGCCAAGCAGGCCATACAGAACTTCGGCTCATTCTGCCAAAAAACACCGCCCAGTCGAATATACCGACGCCGTACGCATAAAAAGCATTAGTCTTTTTGTCTGTTATTAACATCACCATCTACCCTATCTCGGTAAAGTAAATTTTCGCACCTTCTGTTCTGGCCATGTCCACAAGCCGCGTTTCGCATTTACACGCGGGACCATAAAATCAACCACACAGTCGTGACGAACGTCAAGATTCAACACCAACACCACACTGGATGAAAAAGGCAACGACCCATTAGTAGACTGTGCTTGTACGCCCCTACCCTTGGCACTCCCAACTCTTTCAATCAAAATCACCAAGAAAACTCTTTCAATCAAAAACGCCTAGAAAACTTGTGACAAAAAGCGTGCGAAAGGATGGCACATTTGCACCCCGTTCCCATTTTCGTTCGCATGTGTCTCATGACACCAAGCGTCCTCCAGGCCGATTGATCTCGAATACCCACGACAAGGAACACAAACAAATGAGGCTCTGGCAGTACTCGGGGCCACCCGCGAATTTAGGCACAGAACAACGCTCACCAACCGGATAACCACAAGGACACAGTCTTAGGAGGCATCTGTTGGCGGGGACAGCCACAAGGAAAGAGTCTCCGGCCTCTAACCTAGCAGCGGGGTGGCCACAAGAAAACAGCCTTCGGTATCTAGTAGCAGAGACGGCCACAAGGATGCACGCGGGGAAAGGACAAAACACACAACCGTTGCTTGGATATGCCATAATAGCCGCCGCCACTACTGCTGCTGGCCCTGCCGACCAGAGTCAGAGCGACACCAACCGACGCAGCCAGCCCCGAAAAAAAAAAAACAGTGTTGTGGGCGTGGCAGCATTTGGCGTGAACTACTGTACAGTCCAGTCTGCTGCCAAAACAACAAATATCACATGACTCGTCCAAGTCCACAGAAACAACTACATCAACTCTTGGAGTCGAGAACAATTCAATACCACGGGGACAGAACAAATCGTGATTAGGAGGGGGG